ACAGCAAGATAGCCTGAACTCGGCTATTCAGAGACGATCAGACAGTGCTATTATGATGGAACACCTGAAGAGCGTTGATGAATACAACAGACGATCGCAGCTAGATCGAGATATCATCGAGAGGAATGAAGCTGAGAGAAAGGATTGCTCAATGAGATGTCAATTGGCAGCGAGTAGATTCAACCAAGAAGCAGAAATGGTTAGGCCACGAACATTATATTTACTTTAAAACAAGGGCGGATTTAGGCCTCCCTTTGGTCTTATTCTACACAGAGGCGAAGCTGAGCTTCGCACCACCTGCGATGCAAAACAATCATAAAAAATGAAGTTAAAAAAAATTTTGAAAAAAAACTAGGTGAACAAAAAGGAAAGACACCTAGGGCCCAGCTAAAGCTGAAGGCATGTGTGTGATTTTTTGAATTTAGTTACACCGATGCGAGACGAAATGCGTATTTGAACAAATTAGACTTAGCCCAAAACCTCAGTTGTTTCTCTACTAAAATAAGTGAGAACAGTGAAAGTTTTTGAGATTTTCTTAAAAACATAATAATTTTTAAAAAAGTATTTTCTGTAGGGCGTATTCGCGCAACCGCTTCTTTCGATTAAATTTTTCATTTCAGATTTGATGGGGTAGTTTTAAAGAAGATTCAAAAAGTTTCTAAAAAAAACTGTCAAAAGCTGACTTTCCGAAATCCATATTTTTTTTGCAAATACCAGGTCTAGGCCGCTGTAAAAAAAAGACAAGATTCGCAAAATTGGGTTTCTCGATTGAACCTTTAATCTAAGAATTGGCACAATAATTTTCAAGAGTCACCAAACTTCCAAAAAACGGAAGTTTGAAGGCCATACTTGTTTGAAGGTCATAAATTTTTTTCAAAAGAAACTGAGCGTAGCAAATTACAGAGGTAAGCTTCCAACAACCTGTTGTGTCGATTGAACTTATGATATCAGATTTGGCAGGTTAGTCATCGAGACAAGGCCAAAAAACGGTCAAAAATCATAAAGTTGACATTTCCGAGAATCGGCTTTTTGTTTTTAGGAAAATTGCGCAAAGCCGTTTATGCAGAAAAGATTCGCCCAACCTTTAATTCCGATAGAACCCAAAAACCCAGGTTTGGCAGGGTAGTTCGAGAAAAATGAAAAATTTTAAAACTTCACTATTCCGAGGGACATAATTTTATGAGCAAGTTTGAGCTTACCCACTAGAGGAGGGGACCTTTAATATCATTTTATTTATTGAAACCAAAATCTCAGATTTGGTGGGTTGCTTTTTGAGGAAACGAAAAAAAAATCAAAAATATTGGTCAAATATTCCCCCATAAATTTTTTCGAAGGCTGTAGACAAAGGGGTAAAGCAAAAAGAGACCAGGGGGAAATGCAGATATACAAGGGTGTAGGCGCTCATTCTATGGTTAAGTCTTTTTTGAAAATCGGTGGAAGGGTTTTTGAAACTAAACTAGCGTGTAACGCACCTCCGGTGCTTCAAATTTTTAACAACTCAAAAAAGCCTCATGTATTAAAAATAAGATCAGCATCTTTTGAGTGTACCCTGATAGCACCCAATTACATTTCATGCATCAGCTGGCAATTGTTACTGCAAGGCTGTGAGTTGCAAATGTGATGACGCTGCTTCTGACATTGACAGCGAAATAGAATTCAACACAGGACCTCAAACAAGCAACAAGAAGTTCCAAACTGTCACTGAAACCCGCTCGATAGGCTGCGAGTGTAAAAAAGACAAGCGAGTTCAGAAGAATTCCCGCAACTGTTGCTGCAAAACTAACACAAACAAAATGGCAGGTGAAAATGAAGAGACTTCTGAATTTTCAACGGACGATGACTCATCAAGTGAAGATGTGCCATATCATTGTAATGATTCTTCTCAGTCGCAGAGCCGCTCGCGTTGTTTCAACCAATACGAATGTCCAAGTCCATGTAATGTACCTTTCACTAGACGGCCAATAATGTGAGAGTCGCTTTACATGGACGAAAGTCTCCCCCCTCTTCATCCATTCTGGGATCCAACATGTTCATTGCCACCAGGGGGCCCTAGGCCTTGTCAATCAATCCGAGATTACTACACCATGCAGTGTGGTCAGAATGATGGGTGCACTGCCGCCGGACCAGTAAATTTAACTCTTATAATAAATAATGCAGTTAAAAAAAAGCTGAATTTGATTTTTTTTTCAGTGGGTTTCCCAGAATATGTGCAACTGTGGCTGTCTAGGAGGAAAAAAGACGTCAAAGAAAAAGAGTAAAGGATCATCGGCAAGTATATTATAGTACGATTCTTACACTCAACAGAACACTGGTAAAAATCGCATTGGTTGAATCACAGGCATTGATATTCGATGACATATGACCAAATTTGATGACATACGACCATCTATACAAGTTATAACTAATTTGAACAAATATATCTATAGTAACTTTTTAGAAAAGAAGCACCCGGTCTTCCAGGTCATCAACGCAAAAATCAGATTCGGTTAGTATTTTTGGATAGGCCACAATAAACAACTATTTTCACCAAAAATAAAACCAATTCTTTATCCAAGGTCAATATAACTCGTTTTGCTTTTAGAAGTCGTCCGGGACGAAAAGCTCCAAGAGCTCATCTACGAAATCATCTACAAAACGATCATCCACAAAATCATCTACGGTTCCGACAAACATTTCGGATCCCGTGTCAGAACCATTCAGCGAAGAAGTAGATGAGGAAGATGATGACAAGCTTCAAAAACCATAGAAAACTTCGTATCTCGAATATTTTACAAACTTGAGCAGTCAAATTAGTAGACAAAATTCGCAACCCCTGAGAGTACTTTGACAGCTTCCCAACTAAAGGTTTAGGAATTTCAAACTAAAAAAAAAATTAATTTCAAGTTTTCTGAATTTTTTTTTGAAAAATAATAAAAACGTTCTGCCTCAAAAACTACAAAGAATTGAGCAGCCTTACTTAGAGACAAGAATCGCAACGCCTGAGAGTACTCGGACAGCACCCAACTACACGGTTAGAAATTTCAAATTTTGAAGAAAAACTGTTAAATTTGAGTTTTCTGAATCACAAAAAACGTCTCATCGCGAAAATTTTAAGAATTTGAGCCGTCATATTCAGGGGCAAGGTTCGCAACTCCTGGGTGTATCATCAAAAATTCCAACTACAGGATTTAAATCTTCAAAATGTTTGAATTTTTTTAAATCTAAGTGTTTTGAAAACTTTTGAAAAAATCATAAAACGTCATATCTCGAAAACAAGGATTTGAGAAGTGAGATTTGGAGGCAAGATTCGCAACACCTGAGAGTAACCGGACAGCCCTCAACTATAGGGTCGAGATTTCCAATATTTCACAAAATTTTTAAAAATTAAATTTTCTAGAAATTTTTGAAAAATTTCGAAAATTGCCGTATCTGGTAAACTAAAAGGATTTGGTTATTCATACATGGAAGCCAAAATCTCAACACCCGAGGAAACCCTGACATCATCCCACTATTAGATCACTAATTTCAAACTTGGTTGCAATATCGTATATTGCATTGGTTTTCAACCATTGCAATATACGATATGGCTAAAACGTGAAAAAAATATCTTTTAATAAAAATAATACGTTAAGAAAAGCTTAAACATGGCGAGATAGTGAAGCCCGAATTTGAATATGTAATAGATTTTTTTTACAAAGAGATAAAATTTTCCAAAGCGTTTCAAAAAAAACTAAATACCAATCCCATACATGTTCATGAAACCTGTTTTTATCAAACAGGAACTCCAGCAAGCATGCCAAGCAAGAAAATGGAAAATCAAATTAGCCAATAAACAAAACCTACGAAGTGGAATCAAGGCCGACAATCTTTGAGCAGACACCAGTTGAGACAAAATAAAAAACTGATTTTGTGAACAACTTTTAACAGTTTTAAGTCGCCACCTGAAACTGCCCTGTATTAACTTGTACCCACCCGGTACTTAAATTTGAATTTTCATAAAAACAAGCATCTCAGCTGCTTTGCGATTCATAAGCGTAACAAAGCCGAAAATACCTGAGAAGAAACCCTTCAAGACGAAAAAAATCCAAATTACTTTTAAAATTTTTCCCCTCAGAACAGACACACGCACTTAAAAATTTTTTGGACCTCAAAAAACGCTTAGGCCAGTAACTCGATACAAAAAAAAACCAATGAAGCCGAAAAAAAGACAAATTAAAAAGAAAATGTAACAACGTAATAATCAAATTTCGATTCGACCGGATTTTTTTAAAATGCTGAAACACTAAGAGCAACTCAATGAAAATAGTCTGCAGCAAAAATAAACGATTTTCAAATGTGGCAACTAGGACGACAAAACGTAAGCAGACGAACATATGGCAAGCAATTTTATATGAAACAGAAAATTTCTGTTTGAGAAAAACAGGTCCTGGTCAGATTCGAATCGAGGACCTTGGGCGTCCCAAGCATATTCATTACCTCCAGGCTAAGTTGACAGAGAAGGCATGGAAGTTTGAATTCATTATGAACCAAGATACAAGTGATTCAACTGATTTTGTTAAACTAGTTGTTAACCCGAAAAAAAAGCCTACATTCCAATTTGATAACCCTTGCTATTCGCAAGCGTAGTGACATTAATTTTGGGCCAACCAACCCCAAAATTTATCTGAGGGTGCCAATATATACTTATTTTGAAGAGGAGCGCGCGCTGAAAAAACGAAAATTTTTGAACTTTGAACAACATTTTCCAAAAAGTGCCCAAAACGGCTAGAATATATTTTGTCGACAGAAAGGTCGACAAAATTGTCCCCTCGATAAAATCCTAGATCCACCCCTGCTTGAAAATGTCTGAGTCTGAAGGATCTTTCATCCCCTGAAGATGTAATTACCGGCTAAATTTTCAAATGATAATGATGAAAATAATAGTTTTGTTGCAGGTAGTTCAAAAACATTAGAAGAGACTTAATAGGTTCAAGCAACTTAAGTTCACAAACCAATCATTATTGTTCCTTTAGAATCGACAGATGCTTGACAGCATTGCTCAGCTTAAGAATGAGCAACAAAAACGCGACCAGGAATCAAACGAGAGATCCGCTACTCTACTCCGAATGAAAGTACAGGAGACGTTCTACAGCGCATGTGATTGTCTCGATTCTGAGGAGAGCGATTGTTCTGAAAAGGGAACCCAGACCCCTCGAAAGAAACAAAAGACTTGTTGTGACAAAGAAGAAGGGAAGTGTTACTGTTCATCCAATCAGGGAGGGGGAAGGGGAGGAGGGGGTGATTTAGGTACTATTACTTTGAGGATTTGCAACGAGTGTGATGGCGCCGGTGATCACAATTCGAACTCGAACAACAATAACCAACTGGCTCTTCCAGGTAATTGCAAGCAAAACCATGCCAACATTCACATGCGATACAAAAATATGTACCAGAATATCAGCGTTAAAAAATTACTGTAAAAAACGGCAGCATATTTCATTTTTTGTACTTTTTTGAAAATTACAAATCGGTTTTTCTCGAGAAGACTTTTTCGAAATCTTTTAATGACGTTCGAATCACGACTGAAAGGCTTTAATATGATATATTAATCAACTTTCTCCGATAATTATTTGTGGTAGCAGATTTTGATTGGAAAATATAGAAAAGAAAAAATTCAAACACACCCGAATACTAAGCTCCTCTCTAGTTTTCAAATGGTCGGAACAATAACCAAATAGCCAAAATTCGGACAAGGCAAAATTTATTACTCTTTTGAATTAAAAATTCAAAGATTGAAAAAATGAGCAACATTTTTTGGCACGCTAAATCGAATCACGAATTTTTGTCTTCGCAGTCATGTTCGTTACCTCTACGCCAGAGGTGCGGATTAACGCATTGATTTTAACCTCGAAATAAACTTTTAACAATTAGGTAGCAAGCCGACAGCCAATACTAAAAATTAACTTCATGAGAAAAATTGCATGCACAGCCCATATATGATCTAAGGGTGCCATATATGTAGTACGCAAGTGGCTTCACATGTTTCGGAAACTAATTACTGAGCTTAACTCGACAACCATGAAGCCGAAAAAACATAAGCAAAAAGTTAGAATAGGAATCATAGATACAATCGTTAGAACTCTGGATATAGACTAACACGGAATTTGCCTACGAATAAAAGATTTTTAAACTAAAAATTTAGAATCCCAGATACAAATAGCATGCAAGATACAAATTATTTGCCAGAAGTTAAAAAGTGGCCAGTAGCTTGATTCGAGTTTTGAAAATTAAAAATGTCATAAAAGTGATTGTTATGCGTTTCAGATAATTGCATAACTTTCATATTTTTGGCAAACTCACTGATTTTTGCTCCGATCTCGGATTCCAAAGAAAGCAATTCCTCAAAAATTAGACCAAAAGTAGGCTAGCTACTAAATGACACAAAACCAACGAGTTACGCGATGAGAAACTGCACTCTCTATTCAATTCTACTGCAATTTTTGCATTCATTAAGCTACTCTATTATTGCCTTTCAATTGTCCGTCTACACGCATGTCACCCCTCCTAAATTGTATTGGGACATTTCGCCCCTCATACATTTCACCCTTCATATTTCACAATTTAAGTCTCGCAATAAAAGTGGGGCGAAGTTTTTCAATAAATTTATTCTATGTATGGCTATTTTTCTGATTCTATGGCCCTTTACTGAAAAAAAATACTACAAAAATTTACAATTGAACAAAAACTAATGTTATATATTTTCCTGAATCTGCCTGAATTAAAACCACAGGCTTTGGAATGTCAAGGCGGCCGCATTACCAGACCAAGTGGGAAGGAGACAGGAAATTATTAAGGTTCAATAATAAAGCAAACTCAATTTCTTACAAAATTGTAAGAAAAGTTATTTACGGGGGAAAAAGTCCAGTTCCCGATCATAAAACACTTGCTCTCGCAAGAGTAATCATATTCATGATAACGGTTGTTGTATCCTCACCTTTCTCGTTCCTACACGTTCCTAGATAAATGGAAAACTATTCAAATAATCAGATTAAATAATAGGGAATCGCTGTAAATTGAATTAGAAAGCAAAAAATCTTTATTTTAGGAGGATGTAATTGTAAAGGAGACAACAGTAACTCTCAAGCGCCTGGACAGTGCTTCTGCTCGACAAACAAGCCTCCGGATCAGCAAAGTTCGCAATAACCTTTTTCTCCATTTTCAAATTAGTATAAGAAGCTAGCTTACCAAAATTACTATTGATACGACAAATTTTTAAATAGATATCTCAATATAATACAAAGCGGCGAAGCGAAAATTTGTATCACTTGCGATACATTGGAAGCAAAGCATTGCAAGCTAGCCTCCAATGCAGTTTTTCCGGACAAAAAAAATCAGATTCATAGATGCTGAAAAAACCACGGTCCGGCCGGGTAGAGGAGAAAATCAGCAATACTTGCATTTACAGGAAAAATTGCTTGCCGTGCAAAAACCCGTGATGGGGCAATTAAGCCGATAAAACATAACCAGGCAAGCAATAGACAGACAATGCAAATTTTCCCAGAAAAAAGTTCAAACCCCAGGCTTTAGAATGCCAAGGCGGCCGCATTACCTACAGACCAAGTGGAAAGGAGACTGGAAATTATTAAGGTTCAATAATAAAGCAAATTCAATTTCTTACAAATTTAAAATAAAATTTGTTTACGGGGGAAAAAGTCTAATTCTCGATCATAAAACACTTGCTCGCGCAAGAGTAATCATATTCATGATAACGGTTGTTGTATCCTGACCTAATATTTCTCGTTCCTACACGTTCCTAGATAAATTAAAAACTATTCAAATAATCTGATTAAATCATAGGGAATCGCTGCAAATTGAACAAGACAACAAAATTTTTTAATTTTAGGAGGATGTAATTGTAAAGGAGACCACAGTAACTCTCAAGCGCCTGGACAGTGCTTCTGCTCGACAAACGTGCCGCCGGACCAGCAAAGTTCACAACAGTCCAAATGCTTCTGCAACTCAAACACTCAAAACTCAAACAACTTCCATCCTTCGCAATCGCATCAAGACCCAGGTCCACGTCACAGCAACCAGAACTCTATGCAAGTCAGTTACATGACAAGCAACTATCAGTCAAATCCTCAGGCGCAGACTGACAGTCAAATAGTAGCCAGAAACAGCTCTTATTACAATGATGGCAATGACATGAGATCCTCGATGCCCAGATACTTGTCCACACAAAACAGCATCAATAACAATAACAACAATGAAGGATACATGTCGGTCTATACTCATCAGCAAGGATCCGGAGAACCCCTTCTGATCGCGAGCTTCCGAAAAATGAAAAAACAAAAACAGCCCGGACAACGCAGGAAGAAACAATTCAGACGTCCAAGAAATCAAATCCAGGAAGCTCCTCAGATAAACTTGAACGATGTTCCGCTTTGTAGATGTAGCACACCCGAGAACGCAAATGGATCGCAACCTGATTCCAGATTAGATAACCGGCGACGTCGACGAAGTTCCAGTATGGTTCCACAAGGCTATCAAAACAACCCTTCAGTCGATACTAAAACCGTGAAATTGTGCTGTTGTCAAGGTAAGACTGAACAAATAACCAAAGAAATCATCTACATGATGTTCAAAGAGAACCAAAAACCGATTAAAAAAGGCAAGCGTAACAACGATTGCGACTGCGACGAATGTTCGGACGAAAGGCAAAATAGCAGAAAAACAGAAAGCAAAAGAAATACATGTACAAAAGAAGATGTTCAACAAATGATACTTCAATCAGAAAACATGATGCTGAGGCAGTGTTTGATGCATCAGTCAATGCTTATGGCTCAAAGCAACAGCAGAAGAAAGCATCGTAGCAGCAACCGAACACAAAATGACAACGCGAACCAAACTACGGGATCACAATCTGGTGCAAATGCTAACCAATTTTCACAGAATGCACTGACATATCCGTATTCAAACGAAAATGGAAACTTTCCTCAACATAGGAGCATATTTGACGGTATTGATAGGTTCAATTTCAATAACCGCTACCAAGGATTCAGTCAGAACCTCAACAATAATAACAACATGTATAGTCAACGTCAAAATGATTACAGCAATCACAATGGTCAAAACCTGGAGCAGGTCGGGAAATGCTATTGTACTCCTGCAACCGATCCAAACGATCAAACTATGGCCTCAAACAACCCTAATGAACAAAACACTGGTGTTTGTCATTGCCAACGAAACAGTGAGCCAAAACCAGAACCTTTTCAGCAACGAATTCAGCCTACAGTTGCTCATGCATCAGCTGGCAATTGTTACTGCAAGGCTGTGAGTTGCAAATGTGATGACGCTGCTTCTGACATTGACAGAGAAATAGAATTCAACACAGGACCTCAAACAAGCAACAAGAAGTTCCAAACTGTCACTGAATCCCGCTCGATAGGCTGCGAGTGTAAAAATGACAAGCGAGTTCAGAAGAATTCCCGCAACTGTTGCTGCAAAACTAACACAAACAAAATGGCAGGTGAAAATGAAGAGACTTCTGAATTTTCAACGGACGATGACTCATCAAGTGAAGATGTGCCATGTCATTGTAATGATTCTTCTCAGTCGCAGAGCCGCTCGCGTTGTTTCAACCAATACGAATGTCCAAGTCCATGTAATGTACCTTTCACTAGACGGCCAATAATGGGAGAGTCGCTTTACATGGACGAAAGTCTCCCCCCTCTTCATCCATTCTGGGGTCCAACATGTTCATTGCCACCAGGGGGCCCTAGGCCTTGTCAATCAATCCGAGATTACTACACCATGCAGTGTGGTCAGAATGATGGGTGCACTGCCGCCGGACCAGTAAATTTAACTCTTATAATAAATAATGCAGTTAAAAAAAAGCTGAATTTGATTTTTTTTCAGTGGGTTTCCCAGAATATGTGCAACTGTGGCTGTCTAGGAGGAAAAAAGACGTCAAAGAAAAAGAGTAAAGGATCATCGGCAAGTATATTATAGTACGATTCTTACACTCAACAGAACACTGGTAAAAATCGCATTGGTTGAATCACAGGCATTGATATTCGATGACATATGACCAAATTTGATGACATACGACCATCTATACAAGTTATAACTAATTTGAACAAATATATCTATAGTAACTTTTTAGAAAAGAAGCACCCGGTCTTCCAGGTCATCAACGCAAAAATCAGATTCGGTTAGTATTTTTGGATAGGCCACAATAAACAACTATTTTCACCAAAAATAAAACCAATTCTTTATCCAAGGTCAATATAACTCGTTTTGCTTTTAGAAGTCGTCCGGGACGAAAAGCTCCAAGAGCTCATCTACGAAATCATCTACAAAACGATCATCCACAAAATCATCTACGGTTCCGACAAACATTTCGGATCCCGTGTCAGAACCATTCAGCGAAGAAGTAGATGAGGAAGATGATGACAAGCTTCAAAAACCATAGAAAACTTCGTATCTCGAATATTTTACAAACTTGAGCAGTCAAATTAGTAGACAAAATTTGCAACCCCTGAGAGTACTTTGACAGCTTCCCAACTAAAGGTTTAGGAATTTCAAACTAAAAAAAAAATTAATTTCAAGTTTTCTGAATTTTTTTTTGAAAAATAATGAAAACGTTCTGCCTCAAAAACTACAAAGAATTGAGCAGCCTTACTTAGAGACAAGAATCGCAACGCCTGAGAGTACTCGGACAGCACCCAACTACACGGTTAGAAATTTCAAATTTTGAAGAAAAACTGTTAAATTTGAGTTTTCTGAATCACAAAAAACGTCTCATCGCGAAAATTTTAAGAATTTGAGCCGTCATATTCAGGGGCAAGGTTCGCAACTCCTGGGTGTATCATCAAAAATTCCAACTACAGGATTTAAATCTTCAAAATTTTTGAATTTTTTTTAAATCTAAGTGTTTTGAAAACTTTTGAAAAAATCATAAAACGTCATATCTCGAAAACAAGGATTTGAGAAGTGAGATTTGGAGGCAAGATTCGCAACACCTGAGAGTAACCGGACAGCCCTCAACTATAGGGTCGAGATTTCCAATATTTCACAAAATTTTTAAAAATTAAATTTTCTAGAAATTTTTGAAAAATTTCGAAAATTGCCGTATCTGGTAAACTAAAAGGATTTGGTTATTCATACATGGAAGCCAAAATCTCAACACCCGAGGAAACCCTGACATCATCCCACTATTAGATCACTAATTTCAAACTTGGTTGCAATATCGTATATTGCATTGGTTTTCAACCATTGCAACATACGATATGGCTAAAACGTGAAAAAAATATCTTTTAATAAAAATAATACGTTAAGAAAAGCTTAAACATGGCGAGATAGTGAAGCCCGAATTTGAATGTAATAGATTTTTTTTACAAAGAGATAAAATTTTCCAAAGCGTTTCAAAAAAAAACTAAATACCAATCCCATACATGTTCATGAAACCTGTTTTTATCAAACAGGAACTCCAGCAAGCATGCCAAGCAAGAAAATGGAAAATCAAATTAGCCAATAAACAAAACCTACGAAGTGGAATCAAGGCCGACAATCTTTGAGCAGACACCAGTTGAGACAAAATAAAAAACTGATTTTGTAAACAACTTTTAACAGTTTTAAGTCGCCACCTGAAACTGCCCTGTATTAACTTATACCCACCCGGTACTTAAATTTGAATTTTCATAAAAACAAGCATCTCAGCTGCTTTGCGATTCATAAGCGTAACAAAGCCGAAAATACCTGAGAAGAAACCCTTCAAGACGAAAAAAATCCAAATTACTTTTAAAATTTTTCCCCTCAGAACAGACACACGCACTTAAAAATTTTTTGGACCTCAAAAAACGCTTAGGCCAGTAACTCGATACAAAAAAAACCAATGAAGCCGAAAAAAAGACAAATTAAAAAGAAAATGTAACAACGTAATAATCAAATTTCGATTCGACCGGATTTTTTTAAAATGCTGAAACACTAAGAGCAACTCAATGAAAATAGTCTGCAGCAAAAATAAACGATTTTCAAATGTGGCAACTAGGACGACAAAACGTAAGCAGACGAACATATGGCAAGCAATTTTATATGAAACAGAAAATTTCTGTTTGAGAAAAACAGGTCCTGGTCAGATTCGAATCGAGGACCTTGGGCGTCCCAAGCATATTCATTACCTCCAAGCTAAGTTGACAGAGAAGGCATGGAAGTTTGAATTCATTATGAACCAAGATACAAGTGATTCAACTGATTTTGTTAAACTAGTTGTTAACCCGAAAAAAAAGCCTACATTCCAATTTGATAACCCTTGCTATTCGCAAGCGTAGTGACATTAATTTTGGGCCAACCAACCCCAAAATTTATCTGAGGGTGCCAATATATACTTATTTTGAAGAGGAGCGCGCGCTGAAAAAACGCAAATTTTTGAACTTTGAACAACATTTTCCAAAAAGTGCCCAAAACGGCTAGAATATATTTTGTCGACAGAAAGGTCGACAAAATTGTCCCCTCGATAAAATCCTAGATCCACCCCTGCTTGAAAATGTCTGAGTCTGAAGGATCTTTCATCCCCTGAAGATGTAATTACCGGCTAAATTTTCAAATGATAATGATGAAAATAATAGTTTTGTTGCAGGTAGTTCAAAAACATTAGAAGAGACTTAATAGGTTCAAGCAACTTAAGTTCACACACCAATCATTAATGTTCATTTAGAATCGACAGATGCTTGACAGCATTGCTGAGCTACAGAACGAGCAACAAAAACGCGACCAGGAATCAAACGAGAGATCCGCTACTCTACTCCGAATGAAAGTACAGGAGACGTTCTACAGCGCATGTGATTGTCTCGACTCTGAGGAGAGCGATTGTTCTGAAAAGGGAACCCAGACCCCTCGAAAGAAACAAAAGACTTGTTGTGACAAAGAAGAAGGGAAGTGTTACTGTTCAACCAATCAGGGAGGGGGTGATTTAGGTACTATTACTTTGAGGATTTGCAACGAGTGTGATGGCGCCGGTGATCACAATTCGAACTCGAACAACAATAACCAACTGGCTCTTCCAGGTAATTGCAAGCAAAACCATGCCAACATTCACATGCGATACAAAAATATGTACCAGAATATCAGCGTTAAAAAATTACTGTAAGAAACGGCAGCATATTTCATTTTTTGTACTTTTTTGAAAATTACAAATCGGTTTTTCTCGAGAAGACTTTTTCGAAATCTTTTAATGACGTTCGAATCACGACTGAAAGGCTTTAATATGATATATTAATCAACTTTCTCCGATAATTATTTGTGGTAGCAGATTTTGATTGGAAAATATAGAAATGAAAAAATTCAAACACACCCGAATATTAAGCTCCTCTCTAGTTTTCAAATGGTCGGAACAATAACCAAATAGCCAAAATTCGGACAAGGCAAAATTTATTACTCTTTTGAATTAAAAATTCAAAGATTAAAAAAATGAGCAACATTTTTTGGCACGCAAAATCGAATCACGAATTTTTGTCTTCGCAGTCATGTTCGTTACCTCTACGCCAGAGGTGCGGATTAACGCATTGATTTTAACCTCGAAATAAACTTTTAACAATTAGGTAGCAAGCCGACAGCCAATACTAAAAATTAACTTCATGAGAAAAATTGCATGCACAGCCCATATATGATCTAAGGGTGCCATATATGTAGAACGCAAGTGGCTTCACATGTTTCGGAAACTAATTACTGAGCTTAACTCGACAACCATGAAGCTGAAAAAACATAAGCAAAAAGTTAGAATAGGAATCATATATACAATCGTTAGAACTCTGGATATAGACCAACACGGAATTTGCCTACGAATAAAGGATTTGTAAACTAAAAATTTAGAATCCCAAGCCTTAGGATGCCAGATACAAATTATTTGCCAGAAGTTAAAAAGTGGCCAGTAGCTTGATTCGAGTTTTGAAAATTCAGAATGTCATAAAAGTGATTGTTATGCGTTTTAGATCATTGCATTTCAGATAATTGCATAACTTTCATATTTTTGGCAAACTTACCTATTTTTGCTCCGATCTCGGATTCCAAAAAAAAACACTTCCTCAAAAATTAGACCAAATTTAGGCCAGCTACTAAATGGCACAAAACCAACGAGTTACGCGATGAGAAACTGCACTCTCTATTCAATTCTACTGCAATTTTTGCATTCATTAAGCTACTCTATTATTGCCTTTCAATTGTCCGTCTACACGCATGTTACCCCTCTTAAATTGTAGTGGCACATTTCGCCCCTCATACATTTTACCATTCATATTTCACAATTTAAGTCTCGCAATAAAAGTGGGGCAAAATGAGCGGAGGGCGAAGTTTTTCAATAAATTTATTCTATGTATAGCTATTTTTCTGATTCTATGGCCCTTTACTGAAATAAAATACTTAAAAAAATTTACAATTGAACAAAAACTAATGTTATATATTTTCCTGAATCTGCCTGAATTAAAACCCCAGGCTTTGGAATGCCAAGGCGGCCGCATTACCAGACCAAGTGGGAAGGAGACTGGAAATTATTAAGGTTCAATAATAAAGCAAACTCAATTTCTTACAAATTTGAAAGAAAAGTTGTTTACGGGGGAAAAAGTCTAATTCCCGATCATAAAACACTTGCTCTCGCAAGAGTAAGCATATTCATGATAACGGTTGTTGTATCCTCACCTTTCTCGGTCCTGCACGTTCCTAGATAAATGAAAAACTATTCAAATAATCAGATTAAATAATCGGGAATCGCTGTAAAATGAATTAGAAAACAAAAATTCTTTCTTTAGGAGGATGTAATTGTAAAGGAGACAACAGTAACTCTCAAGCGCCTGGACAGTGCTTCTGCTCGACAAATATGCCTCCGGACCAGCAAAGTTTGCAATAACCTTTTTCTCCGTTTTCAAATTAGTATAAGAAGCTTGCTTACCAAAATTACTATTGATACGACAAATTTTTAAATAGATATCTCAATATAATACACAGCGGCGAAGCGAAAATTTGTATCACTTGCGATAAATTGGAAGCAAAGCATTGCAAGCTAGCCTCCAATGCAACTTTTCCGGACAAAAAATTCAGATTCATAGATGCTGAAAAAACCACGGTCCGGCCGGGTACAGGAGAAAATCAGCAATACTTGCATTTACAGGAAAAATTGCTTACAGTACAAGAAAAATCCGTGATGGGGCAATTAGGCCGATAAAACATAAGCAGGCAAGCAATAGACCGACAATGCAAATTTTTCCGGAAAAAAGTTCAAACCCCAGGCTTTAGAATGCCAAGGCGGCCGCATTACCTCCAGACCAAGTGGAAAGGAGACTGGAAATTATTAAGGTTCAATAATAAAGCAAATTTAATTTCTTACAAATTTTAAATAAAAGTTGTTTACGGGGGAAAAGTCTAATTCTCGATCATAAAACACTTGCTCGCGCAAGAGTAATCATATTCATGATAACGGTTGTTGTATCTTGGCCTAATGTTTCTCGTTCCTACACGTTCCTAGATAAATGAAAAACTATTCAAATAATCTGATTAAATAATAGGGAATCGCTGCAAATTGAACTAGACAACAAAAATTCTTTATTTTAGGAGGATGTAATTGTAAAGGAGATAACAGTAACTCTCAAGCGCCTGGACAGTGCTTCTGCTCGACAAACGTTCCGCCGGACCAGCAAAGTTCACAAGAGTCCAAATGCTTCTGCAACTCAAACACTCAAAACTATAACAGTTTCCATCCTTCGCAATCGCAACAAGACCCAGATCCACGGCACAGCAACCAGAACTCTATGCAAGTCAGTTACATGACAAGCAACTATCAGTCAAATCCTCAGGCGCAGACTGACAGTCAAATAGTAGCCAGAAACAGCTCTAATTCCAATAATGGCAATGACATGAGATCCTCGATGCCCAGATACTTGTCGACACAAAACAGCATCAATGACAATAACAACAATGAAGGATACCTGTCGGTCTATACTCATCAGCAAGCATCCGGAGAACCCCTTCTGATTGCCAGCTTCCGAAAAATGAAAAAACAAAAACAACCCGGACAACGCAGGAAGAAACAATTCAGACGTCCAAGAAATCAAAACCAGGAAGCTCCTCAGATAAACTTGAACGATGTTCCGCTTTGTAGATGTAGCACACCCGAGAACGCAAATGGATCGCAACCTGGTTCCAGATTAGATAACCGGCGACGTCGACGAAGTTCCAGTATGGTTCCACAAGGCTATCAAAACAACCCTTCTGTCGATACTAAAACCGTGAAATTGTGCTGCTGTCAAGGTAAGACTGAACAAATAACCAAAGAAATCATCTACATGATGTTCAAAGAGAACCAAAAACCGATTAAAAAAGGGAAGCGTAACAACGATTGCGACGAATGTTCGGACGAAAGGCAAAATAGCAGAAAAACAGAAAGCAAAAGAAATACATGTACAAAAGAAGATGTTCAACAAATGATACTTCAATCAGAAAACATGATGCTGAGGCAGTGTTTGATGCAGCAGTCAATGCTTATGGCTCAAAGTAACAGCAGAAGAAAGCATCGTAGCAGCAACCGAACACAAAATGACAACGCGAACCAAACTACGGGATCACAATCTGGTGCAAATGCTAACCAATTTTCACAGAATGCACTGACATATCCGTATTCAAACGAAAATGGAAACTTTCCTCAACATAGGAGCATATTTGACGGTATTGATAGGTTCAATTTCAATAACCGCTACCAAGGATTCGGTCAGAATCTCAACAATAATAACAACATGTATAGTCAAGGTCAAAATGATTACAGCAATCACAATGGTCAAAACCTGGAGCAGGTCGGGAAATGCTATTGTACTCGTGCAACCGATCCAAACGATCAAACTATGGCCTCAAACAACCCTAATGAAGGAAACACTGGTGTTTGTCATTGCCAACGAAACAGTGAGCCAAAACCAGAACCTTTTCAGCAACGAATTCAGCCTACAGTTGCTCATGCATCAGCTGGCAATTGTTACTGCAAGGCTGTGAGTTGCAAATGTGATGACGCTGCTTCTGACATTGACAGCGAAATAGAATTCAACACAGGACCTCAAACAAGCAACAAGAAGTTCCAAACTGTCACTGAAACCCGCTCGATAGGCTGCGAGTGTAAAAAAGACAAGCGAGTTCAGAAGAATTCCCGCAACTGTTGTTGCAAAACTAACACAAACAAAATGGCAGGTGAAAATGAAGAGACTTCTGATTTTTCAACGGACGATGACTCATCAAGTGAAGATGTGCCATGTCATTGTAATGATTCTTCTCAGTCGCAGAGCCGCTCGCGTTGTTTCAACCAATACGAATGTCCAAGTCCATGTAATGTACCTTTCACTAGACGGCCAATAATGGGAGAGTCGCTTTACATGAACGAGAGTCTCCCCCCTCTTCATCCATTCTGGGGTCCAACATGTTCATTGCCACCAGGGGGCCCTAGGCCTTGTCAATCAATCCGAGATTACTACACCATGCAGTGTGGTCAGAATGATGGGTGCACTGCCGCCGGACCAGTAAATTTAACTATTATAATAAATAATGCAGTTAAAAAAAGGCTGAATTTGATTTTTTTTTCAGTGGGTTTCCCAGAATATGTGCAACTGTGGCTGTCTAGGAGGAAAAAAGACGTCAAAGAAAAAGAGTAAAGGATCATCGGCAAGTATATTATAGTACGATTCTTACACTCAACAGAACACTGGTAAAAATCGCATTGGTTGAATCACAGGCATTGATATTCGATGACATATGACCAAATTTGATGACATACGACCATCTATACAAGTTACAACTAATTAGAACAAATATATCTATAGTGACTTTTTAGAAAAGAAGCACCCGGTCTTCCAGGTCATCAACGCAAAAATCAGATTCGGTTAGTATTTTTGGATAGGCCACAATAAACAACTATTTTCACCAAAAATAAAACCAATTCTTTATCCAAAGTCAATATAACTCGTTTTGCTTTTAGAAGTCGTCCGGGACGAAAAGCTCCAAGAGCTCATCTACGAAATCATCTACAAAACGATCATCCACAAAATCATCTACGGTTCCGACAAGCATTTCGGATCCCGTGTCAGAACCATTCAGCGAAGAAGTAGATGAGGAAGATGATGACGATTATGCGGACGACATAAATGACGACGTGGACGATGACGAAGAAGAGGACACGGATACTGTCCCGACAGAACCAATATCCAAAACCACTTCTTCATCTGGTCCAAAAGCAAGTTCCACATCGCCGTCAAGAGCATCGTCAATTACTGGATCCGCAACTAGAACATCAACAACATCTTCTGGAATAACTGGTTCGGCTGTCGGTGGCACAGGCGCATCTGAAGGGGCTGGCGATGACAATGACTCCGATTCAGACAGTGATTTCGGTTCCGCAAATGCTTCAGATTACGCTGATTTGGAACTGTATTACGTTTCGGCAAATAACCAGCGGCCTCGTTTCCCACAGAAGGTAAAACGATATAATTTTTTAAACGGAAATGCCAAATATTCATAATTTCAAAAATTTTAGTCATCACTGCGCCAAAGAAAAGGCACCAGTCAAATTGAAAACTCTCAAGCGAATCGCTCATTCAGCAACAAAAGCAGAGGAGACTTCAGTAGAACTTATGCATCATCAAAACCAAACCAAAGTTTACACTCAGTGCCAGAAAACCCCGGCTATCTACAAGACACTGAGTCGTCTAGGACAAGAAGATCATTGAGCAGTCGCGCTTCGACACCTAGATTTGATAATGCAGCTAACTCAAAAGAGCCATCGGTAGTAAGTAACTTTTCACAACTCATACAGCAAGACCATCACTCGAGGATGATAAATGTTGTTGTTTTAGTATTCTTCCAAAAAAGAGCCCTTCGAAAAAGATTCGATATCAAGTGAAAAATCTGTAGTCAGAAGTAGGAATTCAAGTAACCCTAGTTTTTCAAAAGATGCTTCTTCGAATAAATCGAAAAGCGTGAGCAATAAAAGTGGCTCGAAAAGTTCGAACTCGTCTACAGTGCCCAAAACTATAGTTGCCGACAATATCAGTTCGATTTCTGGACAAAGTGCAGACAAAAGTTCGATTTATTCTTCAAAAAAACCGCTGAGCAGTAAAACATCGCTTTCAAAAACGGGTTCGAGTAAAAGTTCCTTTAAAACTCCTAGCTTTTCACAAGCGTCTTCGTTGAGCAGATCAACCAATGGTCAATCTGGGTCAAAATGGCGGTCAACCGACAATATTAGCTCAATGTCTGGCCAAAGCGCAGACAAAAGTTCAATTTATTCTTCAAAAAATCCGTTGAGCAGCAAAACATCGCTTAAAACGGGTTCAACCAAAAGCTCCTCAAAACCACCTAGCTCTTCACAAGCGTCTTCTTGGAGCAGTGGTGTGGCAAAAACACCCAACTCATCTCGAGCATCATCGGCAGATTCGTTTTCGGAAGTTACAACTAAAGACAAAAAATCATACGATCTCTTATCTGTTGGAAACTCAAGTAGAGCTCCCAGCACTTCCAGTGGAAGTTCATGGAGGTCAGCTCTTAGCTCAACTCCAACAAAAACTAGGAGCCAAGCAGCTCCTCCTCCGAAGGACGCATACAGACCGAGGATCAGGCTATTTAGCAAATCGCCCAAAAACCCAAAGGCAAGCTTAATTTTTTTTTCATTTTAAAACTGATCTGTCGGATTGGAACCAACAAAGCTTTACTCGAACGAATGACACTCCTAATCAGTTTTACGCGAACAGCAACGTGATTCAGAGAAACTACAATTTTCTATTCCAATTTGATAAGACAATTTTATTATTGCAATTACGATGAAGAGAGAAGCTTCAGTCAAGTATACTACGGAAACATTTCATTGTGCTAAGCTCGTATGACTAATTAGTTCGAACTATGATTTTGGCTAGAAATAACTTCTTTCAGCGCCAAAAAAAAATCAGGTACAAAAAGCAGTTTTTATGAAAGAATGAGGTTTCATATTAAAATCTTTGGATCGAGCTACCCGACGTAGAGATGAAAACGGCTCAAACTTTAGCCTTTTGAAGAATTTGTCCTATATCACAAACAATTCAATGCCTCTAGCCATCTAAGAAATTCCTCTACCCCTTTCACCATTTTCTACCGTTTTTCATGTTTTTTGTTCAGTTGTCATTGAACTCACTGAAATTATTACTCAAGATCAAACAAAAAACTTCTGTTGGAAAAATAAGTACAAAACAAATACCAAAACAAGTACCGAAAATAAGCACCAAAATAAGCAAATAAAACAGAGCGAATACAGATAAAGAAGAATTCCAAAAGAAAACCTAGGAATACAAAGGCAAGCTAGAATACACGGTTGCTATGCAAGTAGCACAAAAAATTGAAAACGAAACTTAGAAAAAATCATTTTCTATTGTAAATTTCTTTCGTGTTTTTTCCTCGTGGCGAGCAAAAGGAAAGCTTATAACATAAGTTGATAGCAAACAAAAGTAATGAGAAAAAAGCGTCAGATTAGTAATCAGAAAACAAAAATAAAACAGGTATAGCCGATTGCAGTGCAACTAGCACAGTGAGTTAGGACTGGAGTGTAACTCATAGAGTAATTTCGGATAGGGTACACCGTCTGCTCGTCACGCTATCTTATTTTCGGCCGGATAGATTCGTGCAACTTCTTAGTCTAATACCGATCCTAATCTTACTCTTATACTATCTAGTCTCAGGTTGTTTAACTAGTCTCTGCTAGGCTCAATAGATCTAGGGTATACTGGTTTATTGCGGCTGCTGAAGTGCTCGGGAGAGTCCAACTAATTTCTAAGTTAAATTCAAATCTCTCTGGTGCTGAAATTACAAGTAACTTCAGCACTTACAAATAAGTGGGTTGTTAGTTAGATGGATCATGATTGGTTAATATTAAATACTTTACATTGGTAAAACATTTAATTTATCCAATCATAAAATATAGTTTAGATCAGGTTCCACCCATCCGGGTTTTACAGAGTTTTTTAGAACAGTTCTTTTGTAGTTCAAGGATGGATGATGGACGTTGGTATTTGGCGAACATCATTTTTCTTTTGTTTCCTTTTTGTTAAGGAAGTTCCAGGGATCTGGAATTGAGGACACAAGACGTTGTGTTCTTCTTGTGACAACGACTGAGTCTCTGCAACAGCATCAATTCTGGTTTCAGAATGGTTGGCTATGTCAGGTTTTTCTGTTCTTCGGAGAGAACTTCTTTTGTGTTTGATCTAGCTCGGGAATGGCGTGGAGATTGTGCGTGGAGGGGATGCCTGGTTACTCGGATCTGTACGTATACTTGAACATCGAGGTGGTCATTGGTCTAGTTCAATGAAGTCCTTTTCTGCGAGGTCAAGTCGTACTCTAAATCCTTTGAGTTGTGATTGTGAGCGGCATATCGATTATAGTTGGTCATTCTCTCTCGAGTGTAGTGAGGTCGTCTTGTCTTTTGATGTTCGTCCTTGGTGTTGTATTCTGATCTATATATTGCATCATGTGATTTTACATTTTATAAAACTTTTATTAATTTAATATTTTTTAATTATGATTTTAGTTAGTTGTTTTCACAAAAGCTTTTTGTTTTAGTTCGGTTATTTTGAAGAGTTACTCACCCTTGAGTAGCTCTTATTAAAAATAAAGGTGTGGTCACAAAGCGTGGATGTAGCACGGTGGGTTAGGCCGGCTATAGAGCATGCTCAGGACGTCCTTTCCTGGTGGGTTAGGCCAGGTGTGGGAGTATGATTTCATGCGGTTTTTATGAGGGGTCCTGTTATGTGACAACATTTTATGTTGGGTTTGTTGTGGTTTTACTTATGTTTTGTTGGTTATGTACTTTTTCCAAAAAGCAAATTGTTTGTGGTATGGGTTTGTCTTTTGACTTTTTTGTGTTTTATTATTTCTTTCTAAGACTTTGTAATAGTCTTCAAAAGAATAAATTATCCAGTTTTAAACTGGGTTAATCCGGTTTGGGTACCGTTGGTTTCCTTTTCTTAGTCATGCTGTTATTTTATGATTTGTGGTATTTAGTAAGCTGCGTTGGTTAGTTTTGTTTAGTATATGATTCCTTTCCAACCGGGTTAAAGGAAAGTTTGAAACTTGTTATTATTTGTTAGAGTTGTTGAGTGTGAAAACTTGAAACTGAAATTCATTATTTTAAACAATTCTTCGTGGGCGAGCTGTGCGAGTGTGGATAGAATTTCTGTGCGAATGAATGAAAATATCAAAAGGTTAGTACTGCAATTGCATTTTATTAATTTACTGCATAGAATTTGGAAATTTACTGCTAGTAATGGGGGAATTTTAAGATACAAATTTTCATCATATGTAGATTTACTGCTTTTAGGGGAAAATTTTATAAATTAATTTACTGCATTGGTATTATATTTATTTAATTGTTGGTGCAAAAGTTAAATAGGGTTTTAAATAGTTTTGAAGAAGTTTGCTATTTTTTATTTTTCTTTTGTGAATTTTTCAGATGATTGAAGATGAAGGCTAAAAATCTAAAGAAAACATGAATAAGGAATGGTGAGTTTTTCAATATTTTAATTAGTTAGTAATATTCATTTAGTTCATACTTACCTGTTAGTCGTCGGGGAAAAAACCGTGGGGGAAGATATCGTGAATTAGTTCTGAAGTTGTTAGTAGTTTAGCTAAGATGCGGATGATATTTTTAGTTTGAAGTAGTGGCCAAAGCAATTGAAGTGCCTTAATAGTGGTTAGTTCTTCAGTGCCTACTGCAAACTCATAAGGTGTGTTTTGGATTAAGTTATATAACTTGTGGTTAAATTTAGTGTTGTGGATGAATTCTAAAATGGGGATTTCTATAGGCTGTACAAACTCGTGCGGGATAAGGAAGGGTCGGGATTCTTCTGCGTTGAAGGTCTTGGTGATGGGGCAGAAAATATACATTTGGGTTATGGGGTCATAATTACGAAGAATACCATGAAGGTTAGTATTTTTAATACAATATGTGAAATTTAGGAAATACGGTGAAGTGTATTTTGAATTGATGAATTGAAAGCGATGGTGTGGTTGTCTAGAGGGTGTGTGGAGGTCAAAGTGATTTTGGATGAAACGATAGTAACTGTATGTATGTGTTTGTTTAGTTCGCAACATAATATCGTGTGAGCAGTGTAAATCTCTTTCGTGTGGTGCAAGGAAATGAAAGGTTAGTGAAAAGATTTGGAAGCGTTCTTTAAAACTTTCGTACGCTTGTGTGCTTGTTAGTGCTTCTGAAATAATGTGATCAAACTTTCGGTCGAAGATGTTTAGTGTAAATACATATGGTGTCTTGATGAAAAATTTCTCGGTGATTTGTGGGTTAGCGAAGCGATCGTCGTCTAAGAATTGATCTTGGTTAGCTCTGATGATGTTGTGATCATAGTATTCTAGTGTGTATTCGTTAGCTCTAGGTGCAGTGTGTATTTTTAGTGATTTTTTATATCCAACGTAAGTAAATTGTCTAGCGATGAGTGGTGT